TCCTCCGCGCCCGCGCAGCCGCTTACCCGCGGAGCCCGCCCCGGCGTGATGGGGGTGGGCGCTGCTTTCCGCACCCCCCCGCGCTTCCTGCCGCCGCCGCCGCCACCGGGGCGGGCTGGGGGCGGTTCGGGCAGCGCCTCCCCCGCTCCCCCGCCTGGAAAAGGCGAGGGCGGCCCCTTTTGCGCCGTCGCTGCGCGGCTGCTGCGCGGCCCCGGAGGGTGTTTTGGAGGGGAGCGGCCCCCGGAGGGTGTTTTGGGGGGGTGAGGGGGTGGGTGTTTCGCTTCTTAACTCACCCTGTGACAGCGTTTGAGCTGCTCAGCCCCTTGGTGGAAGTGGGGTGGGTTTTTTTTGTTGGGTTGGTTTTGTTTGGTGTTTTTTTTTAACAGGAAAAAAAAAAAAACCAAACCAAACCTCTTTAACAGGCGCCTCCCCGCTCATGAAAATGGACGTGGAGATACGATCTGGGCTTTTTCTCTCCACTCCCACTCCCTTGAATCCTGTGGACGCCCCGTTTGTCTCTCGGGTCTCCTCCAATCAGCGTTATTAATTTTTAAACCCGGGTTATTTTGGGCGAGAGCAGCCGCGCTGGGTCCGGCTGCAGGCGGAGGAGGGGGTACCACCACCACCACCCCCAGCCCCGACCTGGACCCTCCTGGAGGGTCCCCCCTGAGCCCTAGGGAACCGCAGTGGACACCACTTTGGTGTTCAGCACCACCTCGGAGCCATCCTTCCCACGGATTTTAACTGAAGGCTTCCTCAACCTGCTTAAACTTCCAACCCCTGCAGCCTCCTGCTGCCACCAGGTTAATTTGGTGTCCACAGGTTCGGGTTGGGTTTTTTTGGGGTTTTTTTTTTGGCTGGAAAAGGCAGGGAAAATCACTGGTTTGTTGTGTTTTTCCCTGGTTTTGGTGTCGTTTCAGAGCTCCATCACTCCCACCTCCTCAGTGTCTCTCCTGGCTTCAGGGCCTCTGCAGAAGACATTTGGTGCCTTGGATCCCTGCTCTTGGTTTTCTCTCAGCATTTGATACTTCGCAGTTTATTTTCCCATTGCAGTCCCATAAATGTGATTTATTTTAATTTTTTTTTTTATTTTTAATTGGGCTGTTCCCGAATCCTAAGGGCAAACGATGCCCCTGCCCCCCCAGGGACCATCATTCCCTCCCGTGTTTGCGCAGCAGCAGGACTGAGAGTCAATGGAGCTGCTGCTCCTATAAACACTGGTTTTCTTCCCCAAAAAGGTTGGCCATAGGTGGCTCGAGGTTTTGTACTCCATTCTGGGTTATTTAACATATTTATCAACCTGTGTACAGAGTGACTGGCTATTTGCAGATGGCATGTTATTTATTTAAATGATTAATTATTTACATGTTATCTAGGTTGACTGGGGGCCCAGAGAAGACTTTGAAGAGCTTCAGAGAAACCGGAGCCAAAGTGATGGAAGTGACAATGAGAAATGAAATTTCGGCGTTTTGCTGCAAAACGCGGGTGATGGTATCGTGTCCCTCGGCAGATACAAACTGATAACAGCCCGCACCGATGGGTCAAATAAGAGACCAGGAGATAATCGCAGCGATCTTGACGAGCGCTTCTGCTTACCCCTCCTACTGTGTGGCCAGAAAATAATAATTATTAAAAAAAATAAATAAATTACAAAGGCAAGAGCGGTAGGAGGGCGCTGAGAGAAGGGGGGACTGTGAAAAAGGGGGGAGTGCCAAAAAGGGGGGAGTGCCAAAAGGGGGGTCTGCCTTGTGCCCCATCTCACTGGAGGTGGCAGGAGCCCCTGGTGGGCTCTCTGTGCTCCCACTGCCCTTGGAGCCGGAGAGAAAAAAGACCCTCAAGCCAGGAGAAAAAAAAAACAAAAACCAACAACTTTTTCGGCGCGATTTGAAAACCACGTCTGTGTGGGCTTGTGGAGGCCATTTATTCAACTTCCTATCAAACAGGAAAAGCGACAGAGAAGTCGCGCTGCGGGGGTCCCTCCACCTCTGGCGGGGGCTGGTGCCTCACGCGGCCTTCACGCTGCCACGGGCCTCCCAGCCCTCGGCCACGGCTGCAGCGGGGTGAGGTGGGGTGGGAAAGGAGGGGGATTTTTCAGAGACACATTTCGAAAGCTCCACTTTTATTCCCTAGGGGTTAGAAAATCCCCGGATGGGCCCAGGTGACATCCCATTTGGAAACTGGGATTCTATTTGGTTTGTCCTGTCGGCTTTCAGAGGGAAAGAAGGATGCTTTAGGGAAACGTTTGGAGTCAGGGAAGCAGGGATCTGGGGTGGTATGTTTTAACATTGTTGCATTTTATTTTGTTGTGCTTTTTTTTGGTTGTTGTTACTTTTGTCATTTTCAAACTTGTAATCAAACCTATTAAGTTTGCTACAATTAAATTTTTCCCCGTGGGATGGTCTGGAGCTTGGAGGGATCTTGGATGGTGGCAGCAAACATCAAAAGGGCTGGTGTCTCTCCAAACTGTCCGAATGAAGGAGCTGTGAAGATTAAAGGCTTCCGATGCTTTTGCTAAATGAGAAATGTCACTTTTGGGGGTGGAAAAGTCAAGTGGCAGGACCCCAAGGGATGCCTGACCTGGCAGATATTTTCTGGTGGCCCCACGGCAGCCTCGGGAAATCCCAGTCGCTCACTTGGGCCTGCTGGAGAGGAGCTGGGTGTTGCTGGACTGGGAGAGGTGCGATGGGAAGAGGACCTGGGAAAGCTCCCAGAAAGGAAGGAATTTAAAAAAAACACCCCAAAAACAAACTGTCCTGGGGATCTGTGATAAAGCACGGCGGGGGCTACCAGGCCCTGGGCTCCCTGCGTCCTCCTAGAACGCCCAGGGGGAAGGCAGTGATATTAACGTGTGAAATTGCAGCAAAAAAAGGGTATATAAATATAAAATACTGTCTCATGCAACTCGCAGTTGCTTTTTCTTGTGACTTGCAATGAAACTGTGGCAGGGAGGGGACCGTAAGGCCGCCGGGAGAGAACTCCACAGGGGTAACCAACACTTCCCCGTTAGCACCAGTCATGGCTGGTTTGGGGCAGAGGAGGAGGAAGAAAAGGAGAGGACACCCCATCACTTCATCTCCGGTCTGCTAGTCTGAATCCAATCCGTATTAGCAGCCGTGAAGTTGTCACCTGACAGTGAACTGGCCCGTGTGAAATGAGTTGGCAGAACTTCTCCTGTCCTACTAAACGCAAGACTCAGTGATCTCTTCTTCTCCTCCTCTTTTGCCCACCTGTGCATGCCCTTCTCAAAAATGGAGATGATATTGGCCACCATAACGAAGACAGAGCCTGTACAGAACTGACTTCTGAGCTCAGAGACGTCATGAACGCAAGAAAACAGAACCAGCGCAACAAAATATAAGCATCCACATGGGAAGTTCCACTTAAATAGGAGGAAGAGCTTCTTTGGGGTGAGGGTGGCAGAGCCCTGGAAGAGGCTGCCCAGGGAGGGTGTGGAGTCTGGATCTGCTAGTCTGCTAGTCTGAATCCAATCCGTATTAGCAGCCGTGAAGTTGTCACCTGACAGTGAACTGGCCTGTGTGAAATGAGTTGGCAGAACTTCTCCTGTCCTACTAAACGCAAGACTCAGTGATCTCTTCTTCTCCTCCTCTTTTGCCCACCTGTGCATGCCCTTCTCAAAAATGGAGATGATATTGGCCACCATAACGAAGACAGAGCCTGTACAGAACTGACTTCTGAGCTCAGAGACGTCATGAACGCAAGAAAACAGAACCAGCGCAACAAAATATAAGCATCCACATGGGAAGTTCCACTTAAATAGGAGGAAGAGCTTCTTTGGGGTGAGGGTGGCAGAGCCCTGGAAGAGGCTGCCCAGGGAGGGTGTGGAGTCTGGATCTGGAGATCTTCAAGCCCTGCCTGGATGCTCCTGAGTGATGTGCTCTGGGCAACCCAGGGGAGTTGGACTGGATGGTCTCTAGAAGGGCCCTTCCGACTCCGACAGATCGGTGATTTCCCTCAGAGATGAGGAAAATGAGAATTTCCTTGCCTGGCCTGACTGTAATTTTCCCTTTGGCTGCAGAATCACCGCCCCGTGCTCCTTAGAGCGCCGACGGGCGGGCAGTTTCTGATGAAGGCTCATAATAAATAATGCCAATAATCATTCTATCTCTATTTTGGGGTGGGGAGGGGGATGCGCGGCTCCAGGCCCGGGGGGTACCGGA